GCTTTATCGCATAAAGATTTAAATTGTTTAAAATTTTACTTGAAACTGATTATTATTGCAAATTTTGAAAAATTTTCCAAGTTTTTTATCTTGAATAATATAATAATATGCCTTTATTCGATTCATTTTTAAAAGGTAAGAAAGCGTCGCGTCAGAGTGAGGGATTATTGTAGGTGCAAAACTGGATGCCGTAGAACTAATTGCAAATGCATAAGTAATCGAATAAAATGCACCGAGAACTGCGATTGTCAACTAGAAAAAAATGCCGCAGGTTGCAATAATGTAAGTATACATATTTAATTAATGTAATATCTTTCTTTGATTAATGTATTATATATAATAAATACATAACTAATGTATTTTTTAGCCTTTTTCTCAGGAAAATGATGAGGCTGTCGACAGTAGCAATGCTACTGAGACAGCCTCATCACAAGAGGCTATTATTGCAAATTTAAAAGCAGAATTAATATCTAAAACGGAATTAAACAACAAATTAAACAAATTAAACGAAGATTTACGTTCGGAAAACGAAGATTTACGTTCGGAAAACGAAGAATTGCAAAATTTGAATCAAAAGATGGATAAAGAACGCAGAAAATTACTGCATTACGTGATTCACGAAATGAAGGACAATATAAAAGTATTTTGTCGATGGCGTCCACGAACGCCGGAAGAAACTAAGCAGATGAAAGCGTAAGTAAATAATTGATTTAAATAAATAATTGATTGCAAATACAGTTGAAAAGTAGTTGCAAAAGTGTATATAAAATAATATATAATCATATATAATAAATAATGTATATTAAAAAATTTTGTATAAAGTTTTTGAGAAGATCAAATGTGGAAATTAAAAAATTAATAATACATTTTCTTAATTCTTTTCTTAATTTGATGAGTTTCTTTCAGCACGTACTATAAATAAAAATATATTTTATTCAAGGGAATAAAAGAGATTATTTTGATATTTTGATATATTGTTTGTTACAGGTTGTGTAATATAAGCTTCATTGACGATTGTACTATTGAAGTGGGTAAATCGGATGGATCAGATGCAATGAGCTGCAGTGGAAATAAGCTACAAGGAACAAAACAAAAATTTTCATTCAATAAAGTATTTGCTCCGAATGCTTCGCAAGCAGATGTGTTCGAAGAATTATCCCTTTTAGTACAATCAGCAATTGAAGGATATAATGTTTGTGTATTTGCTTATGGTCAGACTGGTTCTGGCAAGACATATACTATGGAAGGAAAATCTGAGTTAGAGACTGAAGGGATGATGCCTAGAACAGTATGTTTTTATATATATTTATAATATAATATATGTATATATGTATATGTATGTATGTATATATGCGTGTGTAATTAAATAATACTTTTATATAAATATTTAAATTTACGACTGTAATTTAACTTTTTAGAATCAAAAAGAAAATCGAACGTGTATGTAATTTCAGGTACGTTATATATTCAGTGAAATGGAACACTTAAAACGTCTTGGCTGGAAATATCGAATAGAAGCAAGTTTTCTGGAAATTTATAACGATAATATCGTTGATCTTCTCGATTCTGAACCAAAAACACACGAAATACGAATGGTTGACAATAAAGGTCAAGATTTATGCGTTAGCAACCTTCAGATCAAAGAAATACACAGTCCAGAAGAATTACACGAATACCTACGAACTGCACAACACAACCGAGAAGTTGCAGCTACTCAGTCAAATAAACGGTAATTTTGTTTATTATATGATTAAATATTTATTAGGATATATAATTTAACATAGAATTTAATTTAAAATTAATAATAATTTGCATTTTAGATCATCCAGATCGCATTTAGTAGCAAGAATGCGCTTGATTGGTACACGTGTTACGAAACAAGGGTCAATTTCCACAATAGGAAATCTGAATTTAGTGGACTTAGCCGGGTGTGAACGTTTGACAACCGAAAGACCTCCTAGCCCGAACAGGGAATTAGCGGCAGCTAAATATATTAACACATCTTTAGCCAATCTTGGCAACGTAATTTTAGCACTATCGAAAAAACAGGAACATGTACCTTATCGAAATTCGAAATTGACCCGTTTGCTTGAGCCTTATCTAGGAGGCAATTCAAAAACTTTGATGTTATTAAATGTATCTCCATTAGACGAACATTTAAACGAAACATTAAATTCACTGAAATTTGGTAGTAATATAGCTAATAATTGCAAGACATCAGGAAGTATTAAACGACCGAGCCCGCGAATAGAAAAACGGAAAAACGTGACATATTTAGGGGTGTCACCCCTTCGCGACTGATTTTAAGTCGTGCTCCTGCCATCACGTTGCTCCGAGTTCGTTCGGCCGAGTCCGCGCGGCGGTTCCACAGTGACCACACAGTTCGCTCTCCGCGGCTTGCCGTGTTACCTCGAAGTGAAACGTGGTTTTCCTCCCTTTTCCGGTGTGCTGTGTGCGCGTACACTGCGTGTGTGTATATATGTAGCATGATTTATTTTATTCTTCACGTTAGAGTTAATAGTTAGTGTTAACAATTGGAAAAAGTGGCCTTTATGCGAATAATAATTGTAAAAAAAAAAAAACGTAATTTTGTGGCAGAATATATTTATTACACTGTAAATGTGCATTTTTATTTCAGAAACATCTTTAAAAATAAATTTAATACCGTGTTAAAATTAAGTTCATTATTCATATATTTATGTTGGTAATCTAAAAATTTAATTCCATAGTCGCAATATAACTTGTCTCCATAAATATAATTTCTCAAGAATTGATCGTTTTTTAATCTCATCGATACGACAGTATGCATGTTTAGACAACGAGAAAAAGGCAACCGCGAATGCCGACGGACGGCGTTGGACGACAAATTCGGAGCTTCGAAATACGATACGCGACACCAAATAAATCTCGAGAAATACGTTTATTTTAATATTGTTATATATGTATTATTTAATTTAAGAAATTTAAAAGTAACATTAATTTTATTATTTAAAGTATTTTATTTAAAATATAAGGAATATATAATGGGATCTCAATTAATATTTTGTCTTTTTTTTCATAAAATCATCGTCGTCCAGTTTATACTCTTACGAATTCTATGTTTTTGGGTACATCTTCAATATAAGTTTACATTACAGTAAGCTAGCTCCCTTAGGAAATAGTTTGGCAGATCTAATGTAACATGTCCTGATCGACGTTCTCTATCACGTCTTATCACGTCCAATGATTGCTTCTCGACGTTCTTCTCGTCGTTCCGCAGCTTCCTCCAAAGCAAGGAATGCCAAATCCTTGACCTTGTTTTGCGCGGTATCACTTTTGCTCAATACCGTCAGTAGTTTCATAATGCCTTTTCTCACAAGTTTTGCAGCAACATCTTTCGTGCTTCTAATCATATTTGTCACAATTAAAATACCTTTTTCTTGCACCTCACTGTATGGACTAGTGAGTAAAAAGCGTAGAGATTCCAGACAGAAATTCGAATCGTAAATCTGCTTGCAAGCCCCTTTGTTCGCCTCTGTCACCATCATTAGAGCTATAGCTGCTGACAAGCTAATAAGTACATTCGCGTTCTTGCACAACAACATAGGATGCTTAACTCGAGAATTGTCCTGCTCGAAATATTGGACGGCGACTTCATGGCTTAAAAACAACAGGTTTATAAGTGTTAGGGACCCACATTTCAAACCATTATCCTCGTCATTCAGAAAGGCCTCGATTTTCTGAAACACCCCCTCCTTGCATATATGTTCTCGCATGCTGCCGTTGACTTTAGCAAGGTCGCACAAAACTAATAGAGTCGCAGAATTCTTCAAAATGGAACACTCCGGATTTAGGAGATTTAATGATCGGCCGAACAACCTCCATCATCATCTGACCGGGAAATGCAATCTTAGGATGTTTGTTGAGTCCCAGAAGAACCAGGGCTTCCGAAGCTTCCTTTTTTCCCTTGTCCGTGCCGTTCAGCGCTAACAATAACAATGCCTTCGGGCCGCCTTGTTGAACCACTATTTCTCTCACTTCGCGCGGACAGCATATCATGTTGAAAATGCGGGCTATCAATTCCTTGCAGTTCTGGCTGTCCATTTCAGCGAGGCTCGCCAGAGCGCTAATCACACCGGCCTTCGCTAACACGCTTCTTCTTCCCACTGCGTTTCTGTCGAACAGATTATATCCCTCGAAGTAACGTTTAGCAAACATTACCAATTCTATCATCTCAGGTATGTGTTCTTGCTCGACATAAGCGTTGCAAAGGTTCACCAACGTCGTAAGCGCGGCATAGAGAACCGATTGATCGTCAGTCTTGGTATTGGATCGAGCCAGCTCGATCATTGCTCGAATAGCTTGTTGGTCCTCGATCAACTCGTCTTTGACGTCGTCGTCGAAAGTGAGGTACGACAAGCCTTTAATAGCCCATTTACTCATATCTTTTTCCTTCTTGGGATTAATCAGGAATCGTTTACAAATCTTGGATAACTTCTTCGTCGCTCCATACGGGAACAGTTTGATAGTCGGAGAGCAGAGTCCGTTTTCGAAAATGGTTAACTTGCATAAACCCACTAACGCTCGAATCCGAATTGAATCATGCTTAGAATAATACAGGTTCTGCAATATATCTCGACCTCCCAATATGAATTTGTTGGCCTTCTTACATTTGGTTATAGCGGCAACGATACATTCGCAAACCACTTTCTGTTGCAGTACGTCATCCGCTTTCGCCATGGCGAGGATCATCTCAACAACTTCTTTTGTACAGATAATTGAGTCCGCAATGTCTAATGGGCCGAATATTAATGTTATCGCAAGTACTATACGCATCTGTAAAACAATCGATTAACAAATTATGATTTTTTACATTTTGTGAACCAATAAATAATTTAATAAATATCAATACAATTACAGTTTTATTTAATTTTAATTAAAAATAAGAAAAATCTCTGGTCGCAAAAACTAAAAGAAATTAAGCTTTAGAAAAAAAAACTATGAAAGAAAAAATCAAATTCTTCAATAAATTTCCATGAAATTCTATGTAGCGGGTAGGAGCGCCCGAACAGACGGCGGCGCAACCGCCACACCGAGCGCGCCCCTGCCGAATGGCAACCCATTCTCCATGTCCTGCCGGAGCGCGCGCCAGCTATATAGCTTCTCTACGCGACACGCCTATTACCTATTGTTGGTTGGCGATAATGACGACATCAACGACGCACGATTGCGAGTGGCGCTCACGTTCACACACATTAATCATTCTTTTACGTTATAAAATATATAAGTTCTCGTTATACGATATATACAAGTCTTTTCTAAAAATAAAAGAGAAAAGAATCCTTTAATTGCAATCAAGATACGGTTCGAGTCTCAGCTACGTGCAGTAATTACAAGTAGAGTTCAGTGGAGTTTCACGTTTGTCGCTATTGTCGCTAAGCAAATTTGTTTTTATTTTTTTTAGAGAGTTAAGAAAGAGTTAAGATTTTTATAAAAATCTGCTGTGTATTCCATATAAATATATAATAAAAATCGCTTATTATTTATCTCTTTATGGTACATATCATAAATAACTTGATTTAGAATTTATAATAACTTTGGTTGTCGTTTTAAAGTTGAAAGATCTAATATTCTACTAGGACAAGTGGTTCCAGATGTTTGTACAAGAGGATATCGACGTAGCGCAGGACTATTGTTTACAGCCGCCAGTCTAAAATCGTGTTTAGATGAGGCTTTGTCAAATATTTGTTCAGTACCTAGAAAATAAATAAATATAGGTTACAACGTTACATGTGTTATATGTCAGCGAGTAATGCTCATAATAGCGCGAGACAACGTTATAAATGTATAATTTTATATCACTTTTACACACATGCATGCACGCACGTGCACACATTTTATATTATTTAATTCCGTTTAAGTGACGTACATACACCAGTATCATCTCATTGCTCGATATACTCACTCTCTGCTTGAACATTATTCTTTCCTGGGAGAAGTTGATATCTTTCTAAATAACGCATTGTAGCTAATGACATATTGGTCCCTTGCATATTGCTGAGCATAAGATGTTTCAATGAAGATGATTCTTGTTTATGCCACGCTATATCGGCCAGTTGCTCGTCACTTAAATACTTTAATGCCAACGCTTTCATATGCATACTCGTATTTGTTTCGTTTACAACGCTAGTGGCGTGTGTCATATTTGCTTGATGATCCAAACGGGGATAAAAAGATGAATCAAAGTCCAACCTTGAAAGAAAATCACGTATAATTATAATTGCCCTTATCATTAATATATTATTACCATCATCGTCATATATATATATAGTAATGTGGCCAGTCAGTTTTTGTTTCAAGAAGAAAAATAATTCGCAGATTTGAATCGCTAGATTTAATTCTATTTAATTTGAAATAAAACGTAATATTAAACGTAATATACATACGTCTTGTTACCATTGGACTCCCTGTGCTCCGTGTTATCAGTTAGACTAATCCCAAGTCTCCGAAGTTGTTCCAAAGTGGCCGCTTTAACAGTGTTCAATGCCGTTCTAGTTTCCGTATCATTTTCTTGTTCAACGTTGCGTGCTGTTTTATCATGATTTAGATCTTTATCTTTATCGCTTGCAACACCAGAATTTTGTAAAATTTCATTAACTTGTCCCAAAACATTGTTGTAGAAGGTCCAACCTATTTTTGAAGTATGCCTCAACTTATCACTCTCATCGTCACTCGTATACTCCTGCATCTCAACGTGAATACTTGGTTCGGGAGTTGGTGGAGGTCTCTCGAGTATCTTAAGATCACCTCCGCTCAAAATCATGCTGTCACCTACGTCTTTACGTTGTCTAACCGTAGCGTCGGTTTCTCTTGGGTTGTTTCTATGATTATGATAGTAGTCCGTAGTTGCTGGTGAATGCACGTCACGTAAAGAATGTCGATCAATGTTTGTCTCATAGCTCTTTTTCCCGTCTATCCTAACGTAATCGTTCGTTTGTTCGACAACGTGCGCTTTACCGCACGTGTTTGGCCGTTTCTTCGCCGTCCGCACTCGGTTATCCACGTTCACGTCTTTCCCTATGCCTATATATATACCTTTGTGCGTTTCCTCCCGATTTAAATCAGTAGACAGATGTTGATACATCTTTGAAGATTCTTTGACGGAAGAACTCGCGTTGAACGTACTACTTTGCTGTTGCAAGCTAGAAGACAAATAACTCTCCGAATCTTCGACTATATTCTCTAATTGCGCTGCTCCAGGCTTGCGCGTAAATGTATTCTTATATCTATTAACAGGCTCTGCTGTATCATGTACATTTACGGTATTTGTTCTATTAATATTGTTACCCTCTCTGTGAGCTTCAAGATTCTTCTCACATATTTCAGAATCTATCAGAAACGGGCTGTTTTGCACGGTAAATTCGAAACTTGTCATAACGCCGATCGAAACCTTTTGTTCCACAAAAGCCTTTGTCGCGTGCTGTTCCAACAACTCTGTTTCTACTTTACTATTATTATTATTATTATTACCAAAGTTTTCTAGATCTTGCTTCTCTACAACAGACGTACTCTGCGAGGCCACATTTTGCTTTATACCTCGATTATGAGACTGCGCGAGGGACGAGGCAAAGGCAGGGTCATAACACGTTATCGGGTATCTGAATACTTGATTTGCAAGAGGTTGCGAACACAAGCACATTGATCTGTTTCTGAAATTTTCTTCCTGCAATCTTACTAGTCTATCTACCTGGAGTTGTAAATTTTTGATCTGTTCATTTTGACTATTTACAAGCTGCAACAAAGTTTTCACCGTTTCGTTATTGTCGACGTTGCACGTTGAGTAGCTAGGTATATGAACGTGTTGATGTCCAGGGGTCTGAAAATGTTGAGCGTGTTTCAAAGTATCCGAAATAGTATCGCTCGTAGTTGTTTTTTGTACCGACGCGGAAGACAAGGGTCTCTTGTTCGAAGATAAACGAGTCTGATTTTCGAGTTTATAAGAATCCCTGGTATTAGAACATTTAAACTTTACACTTTTCTCATACATTCTATCATTCTTATTAGCACTCGACACGTTTTCATGCTTATCTCTAGTTTCTGTTTGCTCTCGTCGCTTTTGTGCAGAAGCCTGATTTTGTACGCCTGATGGCGACGCACACGTATAGCTATAAGAGTTGTCACACAATGGCGAAGCATGCGTCGTACTTGCACAAGTATTCTCTCCAGAGTATTTCTGTTCCTTCCAGGCCGCGTAAGAGTTGGGACTGCACGAAATAGGATTATTGTCAGAGACCCGCACCACGCTCGCTGATCTTGCTGGCGACGACGCGGCACTTGCATCGTTTGACTTCCTCGTTATGGGCTTTTCGAAGATCAAAGAGATCTCGGGCACAGTCGGCGCTACAAAGCACTGTAAATTGTCTGAAATTATTTCTGCAATACTTTTTGGTATGTTGTATGTAGCTAAACTACACAAGATAAACAAGATGAGAGACAAAAGATTTGACAGAGGTAATTTGAAGAAGCAACTTACATCGCGTTTAGTTATAGGTTTCGGTACGACTCTCGGTTCAAATTCCTCTTCGCCATCGTAAGGCTGATAATGCATGTTGAAAAGTTAGCTATTATTATTACGAGGTGGTAATCTGTACAAAATGGGCAGTGGCAGTAGGCTGACTAGGCTCTTTAGCGTCACGAACGCTTGCAAAGATGTACAAAATATAATTATCATTCCATTTCCATGCGAGTCAGAACTCAGGATCACGTTGACAAATGTCAGCTTTTGACAATGACAATTCAAAATGCTTCGAAACCGATGGAAAAGAGTGGTTTCTCTTTCATACGTTTAACCTAACCTAACCGTTGCCCTTGTCTGCTTGTCTCTAGAGCAACAGCAACGCCGCCTGTCGTCGCTGTCCTTTTTGGGCTGCGTTCGGATTCCCCACCCGAGTGCTAAAAACCCTATAGTATATGTCACGTGCACTATAGATTTCCCCACTCAGGTGGGGAATCGGAACGCACCCTTGAGTGTGAGAAAGGTGTAGAGGGTGTAGGCACGCGGCGTTCTGATTGGTGGCTTGATTCGCCATATGTTTTGGACCAACTACGAGGGAAACTTAAATTATTATTATCAATAAATATATTGAGACAAGAAACAAAAATTTGTTCACGAGCCCGCGCGGAAGCGCTGGACGTATGTACAAAAAAGTAATTAAAGTGATTAAACGACAGCTATAGGTGTCTTAATTTGCGAGCGAGAGGATTATTACTCGATTCGATCCCGGGGTACGTGGGTAAATATTCGAAATCGATAAATTCGAAAGTGGCATACATATGTTAACTAGGAACGAGGAACGACGAAAAATCGCGAAAAAGAGACGTAATATCTCGTATATGAAATCAAGTAGAAAAGAAACGTGACGTAATCGGGCAATCGCATCGATACTTCCTCAGTCACTTTCACCTGTGCCCTACTGCCCACCTCTATGAAGTTGGCCGGACAACTTCAACGTTCGCGGGACAGCCATAGAGATAGAACAAAGCGTTGAGTTGCCGGCTTGAAGCGAGTTTGTCCGGTTTGTCGGAGATCCGACCAATCACTCTCGACCGCACTTGTAAATACGCCGGCTACGGTCTCGCGAGTGCGCGTGCGCCGGCGTTCTCCAAAATCTATCCATGGGGGGAGCCATTTAGCCATTAGCGAAGCAGACTCTGCAGACTGCGAACGATTAGCGAC